TTTGTGCACTACTGCAGTGATTTCGTTTGGAAAATCAATATTCTTGGAATTTTTTCAGAGAATGGTCTCCGTTGGAGGCCAGTGATGCGCTTGAGCTTCTGTCACCAGTGTTCCAGAATATTGAGCTACGCCGATATGCCGTTTCTCGTCTATCTCATGCGAAACCAGAACAAATTTTGCTGTATCTGCCACAGCTTGTACAAGCGCTAAAGTATGAACGATTCGCACAAAATGTTTTAAAAGAAGTTAAGGTAAGTATTCTCATACATTTTATCTGGAACAGCCAGTGATTAACAGTCTGGATCTTCACCATCTACGTAGTATTTTTTTATTCTGTATAAAAAAAAGTTGCCCAGGAACCAATTTTGGGGAAACCTGTTTTTTTTTTTCTTTTTTTTTGCTTGAACCAATTATTTTTATTAATCTAAATTTATCAAGAAAACTGCGAAAATTGCTAAATGATGTAAAGAAAACCAACAGTTTTGATCTGAATGTAATAAAGACTGCCAAATTAACAAATGCGTGAAGGAAACTGACGTTACTAGTTATTTATTTAGAAAAACTGTGTTTATTGAATCTAGGTACCGCGTATGTCAGTAGGTCGAAATTCCCCTGGAAGGTCTTGGGCCAGACTAAATTAGGACGAGTTTTATTACACACGATACTAGTTAAAGGCGCACAAGCGTAGGACGGAGATTAAGTAGATCACAGACGAAACGAAGTAGATCACAAACGAAGCGTAGTGTGTCAGCCGGCACTGTCGTAAGCAGGTGAACGCGGACCCCAAACATCGAATCCTTGAGCTTATATACCGCTCTTCCTGCAAGTAATATCATGAGTCATAATCTCCGACAACGGGGATCGAGAATGTTCTGTATGGGAATCAAGAAAGGGATTTGACCATCGTAGATCTCATCTACGGTGGGAAAAGCGGCGGGAGGATAGGTAGTCTGGGAACGGGGAAGCGGACTCCTGTCGCAGTTCCGATCTCCGCTGGGAACGTCCATTCCCGACGTCCCCGCTGGAATGTCATCGAACGATGACTAAGCATTCTGTTTATTTTACTTTTTAGGGTTTCCTCGTTTGGGATAGGGGTAAGGGAGCAAGGCGAAGAATTCGCCTTTACAATTTGTTAAATTTTGATATTTCCAATGAAATAATTTACAGGAACAGGAAGAATTCCAAAAACGGAAAGAAGATGCAAAGGAGGGATCGATAAAGGCGGCAAGTGAAAAGACAACAACTGGAAGCGATTATGATGCGCAAAGTCAGCAAATTCTCGAGCAAGCAATTCAGAAATGTTTAACAGGCGATGATCTGGCTTCATTTCTGATACGATCCGCATGTAACGATGCCACCACCACTTACTATCTCTATTGGTATTTGAAAGTTGAGGTATGTGGGTGAACTGATTTTTGGTATTTTTTTGCTATATAACGATGAAGTAGGGAAACGGGTAGAAACATTCGTTGTTACGCTAAGTAAGTGATTTTATCGCCTGTCAAGAGGGAAAAACACGAAAGAGGAAGGGCGGGGTGGGGGGGAGCAGAGGGTTAGTCTTCATAAATTTTGTTAAAAAGAAAGGCAGAGTAGATGGGGAAGTCTTCGTAAATTTCATTGAAAAGAGGAGCAAAGGAGGCGGGAAAAGGGCGAGGGAAAGCAAGAGCTTTGTTCGATGCTTTATCTGCACAAAACTGACTAGCCTTACCCGAAATAAGATTGATTATAAATGTTGGGCGGTCGACAAAATATCAGTTTTCCTGAGGAATTCAGCATGAAATTTCACGGCAAGAAAGGCTAATTTTAGCTAAAGTTGTCACGAAATTTAGCCAAAGAAGGAGGTGGATTTTGCCGGGGCTTGCATTAATCATCTGTATGTTTGTAAAAACCAAAGAAAATTAATTTAAGCTGAAATAGAATGTTCTAAACTTCGTTAAGAGCTGAGGAAATTGTTTTTTAATTTGATCTCATCAGCTGCTATCTCATCGTTGTGTGAGAACATTGTTTCCGCTATTGTGTAGAGAGATTGTTTTCGCTTCTGGTTTTCTGTGTGTTCGTTTAAAGCCCCATGGATTTTATTGAGCAGTCTGAAATTACGGATACAGAGGACATAGACGTAAAAATTTTTGCAAATGGTACCCTGAAATTTGCTTTGCTAAAAATAGCAAATTGTTTTGATCATGAAGCAGCAATGTTTGACGAAATTGCTCACGGAAAAACTGGTAGAAATCATGAATGGGGAATTATGCGCAAACTGTAGCTCTTGGAACTGCACAGAAAGTATATTTTTGTGATTGGCATACCTACAGAATGAAAAGCCATTGTTGCTAAATATGGATCATACAGCTCGGTAGCGTTATTGGTTAACACAACAAATTTTGTTAATTTACGGAATTCTCCTAAAGTTTCAGCTTTCTAACTTTTCTTGTTCCCGAGTTAGCAATTTTCGGACCAAAACCCCGCCTCTACCGG